TTCCACCATCATGTTCGCTGGTCAGTAAAGCCACCCTCCATCCTTGTGTGATGTTATGCTCTCTTACGTTTGTGATAAGTATGCATACTGCTTTAATCAAAGCACATGGTTGGAATACACTGTCTCTACTAGTTCCATGTTACAAGCAATCCAGATAGTTAAAGCGTTGGTATTATGGGTTAGATGTCCATTTAGTATATCACACTGCTATGAAGATAACTAATGGTGAAAGATAGAAAAAACAGGTTAGATTATATGTGGCTTAAAGATAGTAGGACTAATAGCAAATCAAATCATATGAAAGAGTATAAAATTTTAAAAATTTTAGGATAAGAAAAATAAACCATTGAACAAATCACAAGACTTTATGATCAATTTTGAGCTTCGTATGATCGGCCTTAGTAGATCAGCATCCATAAGATTGCTGAGTTATCTGTCTACTTGTAATAGAAAACAAAAAGAGACATGACACTTAGGAAGAATAATGTGTATTTAAGCAGTAGAGGGATTTGGGAACTGAAAGTGAGGGTTAGAAGTATTAGGCCTTGGTTAATGGACAATGAATAATAGGAAACGGCAAATCATATATCCTGTAATTTAGTTGTATTCATATTAGTAATAGTCAGGCTCATTATATTCTTGTCCCATCTAGATATTAGGCGGTCCATAACAAAGTGCTTCATTGGTGGGCGGAAGTCCAAGGGAAGATTGAAGCTCTTCAGAGTCTAGTAACAGGGTTATTATCCTTTTGAATCTGGTAAATGTGTCACAGTTACGGGTAGGCAATTGCAACCTGTTCCACAATAAAATATACCGTACTGTAAAAAATTTACAACGCGTTTGTTTTTGGTGTTTTACGGTACGTAGTGTATATGCGTTTTTTCTTAGTCTATAGGCTGGGTCGTGGATCATAGTTGGGCAGGAGGTAAGAAATGAAAGTCCATATATCGCTTTGTAGAGAAATATTAAATTATTTTTTAGCCTACGGTGCCATAAAGGTTCTAAAGAGAGGTGCTTACATCTATCTGTGTAGTCGGCATTAGAGTTACTTCCTAGCAGTTGGCACGTGAAGCGTCTTTGAACGTCTTCTACTCTTATCTTGTCGGTGGTATTCATATTAGAGAAGATAAAAGAGCAGTACTCTAGGGAAGGTCGTACACATATTTTATAGAGTAAGCTTAGACTCTGTTATGAAGAAATTTCTCATTATGAAACCAATTTGCCGCCTACATTTATAAATAATAGATGAGGCATGTTCTTCAAAGTTCAGACTTTTCGTGTAATTAATCCCTGGATCGTTTACTGATTTGAGTGTCTGGACTCTACTTTTATTTAAATCAAGTTGCAGTTCATAGGGGTGCTTTCCAAACTGCATGATCCACACTTGTCGAGGTTAAATGGTAATTGCCGTTTTTTACTCCAGATAGTTAAGTTATTGAGGTCATTTTGGATCAGGGGTACACTTTCGTTTAAAGTCTCAGGCTCATAACTGCATAATATTTTGAGATCTTCAGCGTATAAGTATGGTTCCCCAAATATTATGGTGTTGCATAGGGACAGGTCCTCTCGAAGTCGCCCGCCGTTTCGTTTGAACAACCTTGAGGTGAACGTTTCATAAATCAATTGCTGTGGGTTTGTTAAGTTTCCGTCGGGTTGCAAAAAGACTAGTTGTTGTCATATTTAAGTGGTCTTTTGCAACAGCGAAACCACAAAATATTTGCGAAGAACGTTGATTTAGCTCTATCCTGTACTGCTCACGTTGGACTGTTGCTTCTTAACTTGGTCTGCGATACCAATATTTTTCTCTGAAATTCACTACCTTTGTTTAAAACTTTATGAGATCCAGAAAACAACGTAGCAACAATGAAAATAACTTAACAGTTCTAGATGTGCGAACTTTGTGTGGATCGTTGTTTTACTCAAGGATTAAGACGAAGTGTTATATAACTGGTAAGTCATAAATGTTTTGTTGCGATTAATATTTGCACAGTGCTGTGTGTGGTGCGCCATGTTCAAGAGATTCTTTAGTCGACGTAATAATGAAAAGGCATTATGGAAGCTGGACTGAATTCGGCAGTGTGCTAAAGGAATTTCGGAATGTAGAGAAGAATTATTTTTCCGCTCCTCAAACTACCCATAATCATTACATTCACGCCGAAAGTAAAATGCTTTTTGATCAATTCTATTTTGTAGATATTTGTTATTTCATTTGGTTATAATTGTTAATTTTGGTCGTGGGCTTCCTGTTTTATTTGCCTGGAAGCAAAAATATTGCGAGCAAATGTGACCCGGATCGCGGATAAATTGTGACATACTAGCGTCTTTGTTGTCATATTCTACTGACATCCATGAGAAGACGAAACCCCACAAGTAAGCTCGATCAATAACGAAATATGAACTGTAAAGTTCACAATATTCGTATACATTCAGTCGGTGGAAGATAGATAACACACACACCTTTCGTAATGTCATGACAATTTCATTATACAAACGAAGAGAACAAAATGTGCAAATTCGTTGCCAGTATCGAATTTAACAAGTAAATAAAATAGCATCTAATAGAATGTACTTATAAGTGTCTTACTTGTTATAAACAATGCCTACCTTCTAACCCCTTAGAATTTCAACTGGTTATTTCGTATTAACATTAAAATACAGACAACGAATAAATGGGCTCATAAACTGCTAGGTTTGAAGCGGTTACGAGTTCCCTTAGACAGCGAAAGGAACAAAGACTTGTGACCAAAGACCAATAACTAGCTATTCTATTGCGTCCCAGCCCCGCTAACCAGAGAGAGAAGTCGAAGTTCAGACGGGGAAGTATATTCCGTAAAAGCTAGAAGCACGAGCCAGCGATAACAACAGACACAATTCAAACGTAATATACAACATAAAACTGTCCTTCGAAAGCGTTACAAAACAGGATACTGAAATACACAATGGACCGATAGCGTTAAAGACTCCTCCGAGTGGAAAATACGACACGAAGGTGAAAAGAGCGCTTTTGGCGCGAAAACAAGGTAATTCAAACTTTCAAATAAAATTACCAATTTAAGGTATTTACCAAGTGAGTTCTGGAGATCTAACATCCCCAACATAAACTCCAACTAAGAACATATACATGAGGAAAGTCCAATTTGAACGTTCATAATAATATTAGCAATTCACTGTTTACATACAATTATGACAGTATTGGCAAGTACTAATTAGATAATTCTTGACAATATGCAAGAAAAATTTGCTTATAATTTGATCGATGATTTCGGATTTCGTTTACAGAAATTCATGCCATGCTTTTGCAGTCGTTCGAAAACAAGGTCTAGATGCTGGAGATGGATTTCTCTGTCCGGACTTGCTATCAAGCAGTCATCAACACACGCATGTACGAAGTTGAGACCTCGAAAAATGTCATCTATGAACCTTCAGAAGATCTGGGCCTGCATTTGCTAAGACGAATGACATGCGCGAAAATTCGTAGAGACCGAAAGGATTGATGATAGTGGTTTTCGGATTGTCGTCATTAACCATAGGAATTTGGTTATAGGCTTTAAGCAAGTCAATTTTCGAAGCGACAGTTGTACATTCCAATGTAGCTGTCAAATTGTGGATGTGAGGCAACCGGTAACGATCGGGAATGGTTTTCGCATTCAGTCGCCGATAGTCGCCAGTTAGATGCCAATCGTTGCTGTCCTGTTTATGGACCATGTACAACGGCGATGCCCATGGACTGTTTGACGGCCGAATGATTCCTAAGTCTATCATGTGGTCGAAGTCGTTTTTTGGACAGCCTCAACTTTTCGGGAGCCAGTTGGCGTGATTTAGAGAATACAGGTGGTCCTGTAGTCGTGATGTTATGTGTAAAATTGCTGATTTTGAGCTCGGAAAATTTCAGGGTTTCCATACTGATTACGATACCAGCAGCAGTCGGGGTTATCCGTCTCTCGTGGTCTGGAGACAGATCGCCTATGTGAAGTGTTTCTTCGCGGAGTGTGTGACCGTTTACGGTCGTTACGAAATTTAAGATAACGCGTAAGTGTGTAACATAACTCTGTAATGTCATTCTGGGTCGTTTGAGGCTTTTCTTTGACTGGAAAAGCCTCACATTAGAGGAATTTGTTATTTCAAGAATGCGGTCGGCATATGCGGCCAGCTCGTCTACAGCGCTGTTTTGAAACGAGACCAGCACAGCTTGCGCCTGTTGAGGAAGTTCGGATAAGTAAGGTTGTTTGAACATGCCATCATCGAAGGTTCTTTGGCCGATAACCCTTCTCATTCTTTGAAACATGTCTGTGGCAGAACCGTGTTGCAGGTCGATGTTGTTGAGGAGTTGGTCTTACCTTTGTCGATCGGTTAGATCTCCGCGTTTGTCGTCCACACCGTGCTCGCAGAAGTCGGCTTCTGCGTAGCAGAACCAGGATTCAATATTGTCTGGCCAGAATGGCATTAGTTGGAACGAAGGTGGGGACATAGTCTTTAACTTAAGTACCTTGGATGTCTGTTCAGCCGTGGTGAAATATCAAGTTCGAGAATGAACGCGTAATATGGCACAGGTATTCGGAGTTTGACAACGCTTTAACCAGTAACACCCAATATTAATTTTACCTCCCTAGTGAAATCAAAAGACAGAAGCGAGAAGGTTCGAAGATATATTTGATAGGTTATCAATGTATCGTGGTGGTCCACCGACTGTTTTGCTCGGCGTTCCTATTTGTGATCTGGTGAGGATGCATGACCGAGCACCTTCATCTAGGTGAGTCCTTTAAAAGAATGTGGTCAGCATCCAATGTCGAAGACTTACCGAGCTATTAATTTTGGGAATTTGTTTATCGCTACACTATTGTAGTTAATTGACCAGGCTTATGGGAAGCTGTTGAAAACCTAAAATATCTGTTTACAAGGGAGAAACTGTCAACTGGTCTAAATCGGCTGTTTATGAATATATTGAATACTGTGGTTACTCCGAAGTGTAACATTACAAATTGATTCGTTACATGTTCGGTATGGCACTTCGGCTTGCTTCACGTAAACTGAGTCCGATAACCTCCTCAGTATATTTTCACTTTCAACAATGCGTAACACATATTTCTCTAGATACGTCATAGAAAAATCGGTTCAGCCACTAAATATGTCCCTTTATTTGAAACGGTTCATATGCCGGAGACTAAGGTGACTACTTTGGCAACTAACGGTTTTCGAATAGCTTCTGAGAACTGGAATACTCCTACATGCACGGTTTGTAACCCTACAATAGTGTTACTCGATTTTAGGTTGGCGTTTGGGTGGACGTCGGTAGTCGATATGAAACAGAATCTAATAATGGTGTGGCTCATTTCCTTGAGCACATGGCTTTCAAGGGGACTGAAAAGAGGAGTCAGCAGTCTTTAGAACTTGAAGTGGAAAACAAAGGTGCTCATCTGAATGCATACACATCTCGTGAGATGACGGTGTATTATGCGAAGTGTTTTGTTGAGGATCTACCTTGGGGTACAGTTCATAATATTCTATTATGTATTACATAGCGGTTGAACTATTATCGGATATATTGAAGAACAGCAAGTTTGAGAACAGTCAGGTTGAACGTGAAAGAGGGGTCATTTTACGGGAAATGGAGGTCTGTTTAATCTTGTTTGATAAGTTTGTAGGAAATTGAGAGTAATTACCAAGAAGTCGTCTTTGATTACCTGCACGCAACTGCTTATCAAGGGACTCCTCTTGGAAGAACGATTCTCGGACCTATAGAAAATGTCAAGTCTTTGAAAGCCAGTGATATGAAGAGTTTTATCAAACAGAACTATAAAGCACCACGAATGGTGCTCAGCGCTGCAGGAGGTATTTGAAGGGTTATTTCAAGCTAATATTTCAGGAGTCGACCATAAGCAACTGTGCGACCTTGCGGAGAAACATTTTGGCGATCTCCAGGCATCTTATCAGGAAGGTGAAGGGGTACCAAGCCTACAACGCTGTCGTTTTACAGGCTCTGAAATTCGTGACAGAGACGATGCTATGCCAGTAGCTCATGCTGCAATAGCGTTCGAGGGTCCCGGTTGGCAAAGTTCAGACACATTGGCACTGATGGTTGCAAGCAGTCTGCATGGTGCTTGGGATAGAAGTTATGGGGGAGGATTTAATGTTGCCAGCAAGCTGGCCTCCAAGTTTTTTATGGAAAATTCGGTACACAGTTTCCAGCATTTCTTTACTTGCTACCATGATACTTCTTTGTGGTTAGTAATGTTTTGGATCCATTAAGTTAAATTAAACCCATAACAACGTCATTTATAAAGTTGAAATATGCATTTTCAAATGGAGTTAGCAATAGTTCAACAAGAAATATATTGCTCATTGTTGCGAAATTTCATGGCCACATGAAGAGAGGAAATCGACTAAGGATGACAGGAACTAAATTAACTAACAAATATTGTACAATATAGCAAGTACATAACCGGAATTTAGAATCAGCTTCAAACTGTGTAGGATAGTCGCAGACTACACAATAACTCTACGCAGTTATCCCAGCTATTCTTAGTCAAACTTACTGCTCTAATTTATTAATTGAGCCATTTATAAATGGATAAAGTATTTGTCTCTTATTGTAAACTTTTCAATTCCAATTAGAAGCTATTGATCTCTAAATCATAAAGCTTGCTTCGGTCATTGTTGCAAAAATTTTCAGGTTAGAAACGAACAAAGTGGAATCAGTTACAAATGTACTTAGACTTATGTTGTAACATTTCTTACCAACACAAAAACTGAGTATTAAAAGCAGAGATATAAAAGTAATTATCGGTGTAATGAAGAACGACATGCAAAATATATCTGATATAAACATATGGGATATAATTTTAGGTTTTTCAATAGTAATATCACAGTGTGTCAATTGGTTAATGTGATCAGACACTCGGCTTCGTATGACTGACTAGTGTGGTTAGTCTTGAGTTTCTTTACATTGCATTTCTTAATATTTCAAATTTCTCCGGAACCATGCCAGGGTTTGTATTTGATACGGACTTTCTTTGAGTGTTGTAGGTTAGTCATAGTAGCCCCAGTTGCTAGGTCACTACATGATTATGTCCATCAACCAAACGCAAATATCACCATTTACTTCACGTTTTAACTACGCGTCTGATATGACAATTGGGGTAAAACCCAAAAGGCTAATGAATTAGTCTGAATGGAGTTAAAGATAGACTTACTCATGGATTGGTCTAGATTAATGTCTAGTTTGGTGCAGAAGATGTAGTTAAGCGTGGCAATCTCCTGAGATACTTGAGTAGTCCTATCAGCTCTGGTGGGTCGTAGTACACTTCGAGACGAATAGAAAACTCCTGGTTTCCGCCAACTTACCTTAAGAATTATGATTGTGTTACCGCTAAATGTCTTCATTTACACGACACGGCTTATGAAATAAATGTTCCTTAATGTGAGTTATGTTCCTATAAGCCTTTTTTATCAAGGCACATGTGTTCGATTTGGTGAAACAATCAATACGTATGTTGGTATTATTACCAAGATTTAACTTGATAATTTCAAGTAGATTGAGCATCGGGTAGATTGTTATAGATAAAAATAGTATGTTTGTAATATCCCAATGAGTAGAAAACTTAGATTTTCTGACGTTTCGTGACTCAGTATAAGCCACTTCAGAAAATATGAGTTTTCTACTCATTGGGGTATTACAAACATTTTTATTTACAGTACATGTTTCTCAATGTTCATTGTACTTTTTCTTCGCACACGTAATACTGTCTTTTATTTGTATAAGTTAGCGTATAGTTATATATCTCACTACTCGTCCCGAAATTTTTAGGGGAGTTTACTTAACAGCAGAAAAGATGGGTTTGGGTGAATCTGTTGGAGAATTCCTTAAAGAATTCGTCCGTATGTGTACTCAAGTTACTCAGCATGAAATCGACAGAGCAAAGAATCAATTGAAAACTCATCTCCTTTTGCAGTTAGATGGCACCACGCCTATTTGTGAAGAAATTGGTCGGCACATGTTGGTGTATGGTCGTCGTATACCTATAACTGAGTTGCTAGCCAGAATTGATGTAAGTTCGACTTAACGTAGTTGGTATTTCATTATGAGCTTCGTATCGAAATTGCTTTCTTCCTGGGTTGTCAACTTAACTCCTATTTGGCTTATTTATGTTAATAACTAAAAGTTTGTTCACTTGTTTTTTTTGTGTTAAAACTTCATTCTGTCCATGATTCTACACATTGTTAAGCTGACAGCAATGCAATGACTTTTCTCAAACCATCTTCAGTTAGTTTATATTTATACACAGAATGAGCAAGTTTTGTAAAATAAGCTCGTTGGAGGATCTCGTACAAAGCTTACGAATCTAAAAAGTAGTTGATTTTACCTAACATTCCGTCTGTAGTCTGTTAGTTTCACTTCATCGTCTGCATTATTTGTCATTTTCTGATTAAAAATATGAACTGTAACCAATCTGTCAAGAACCATTTATCAAATCAATCATTGTAAAATTATCACCATCTGTGATGCCTCTAATTATTTTCTATCAGGTTACAATAGCACATATGAATACCGTTCATTTTAAGTAAAGAAAAAGGAGAAATACAGGTTTATTAATGTCGTACTTCATTTTGCTTAGTTTCTGATCATAGTAGTGAGTTTGCAATATTTTTGATGCTGGTCTTTTTACAACAGGTTTCAGAAATATCTTCTGGTCATAAATATCTTGATGTTTGTAATAATATCAGTAAGATAGATGTGAAAATAAGTTTAAAACCTATACACCTATCAGGCTAATGCTTTGCTGGTTGGTTGGTGTTATAAATATTTAAACAGTAGGTATAAAGCGTAGGGTCAAATAAGATTGAAGGTTGCTTCAGAGTTCAAACGGTGGTAAGTTTTCTGGTAGCTGAACTATATGCAGTTGGTAAATATATAAGTTACCCTTTTGAACTTCAGTAATAATTACTTTTACGAAATAAGTTAAACAGTAAATACGATGGTTTTTCGAAATTTTTGTTAAATATAATACTTTCTGTACATTTGTTGTCTAGGCGCTCAATGCTGAACATGTTAGGGAAATATGCATGAAGTACTTCTTTGATAAATGCCCTGCCGTCGCGTCCATCGGTAACTGTTTTCATAATTTATTTAACTGTACTGTTAAATGTTGGCATTTACTTACACAAATATGATAGCTATATTTGCTGTTGGACTATTATTTCAGTTATCAGAACTGGTGTATTTATGAAGTATTTATTGGCTTATTTATACAACTGGAATATAAAAGCATTAAATTTTAGTTACTAGCATAATGTCATCTGAATTTTTTTCTTGAATTACCCAGTCAAGTGTCATACTACTTCACGTAATTACTTTCGTTTTAATGACTACTGGTACTACCAAAAGGTGATAGACTTGGATGGCTTAGCGTAAATGAACTGCGTCTAAAAGAGGGTTAATTAAAATAATGAGACCGGAACAAAGATTTCTTTTTCTTGGCATACTTTCGTATATTTGCAAATAGGCCGTGGCAGAGTTGAAGTAATTTCAGGTTTTATGCTTTGTGAAACATGGACAATAAATGCAAGTAAGTTGTGCAAAATAGGATGATATTTATTCACTAACTACAGTCAGTCGACCGGAATTCTCCCTATATTTTGCTGGGTTTACGTAGCCTATTTCCATGAGACGTACACCGTCTTACAGGAATTTCGAGATAATTATGCTGTTTTTCGTCATAATCAGACAATGTGGTTTGTTTACTAACAAGCAGTTGATAAGTCTTACAAGGATTCTCCTGCTACGGCGAAGATTATTGGAAGTTTGTTAAGAATTTATGTCCGGAAACACCAAATAAAACCTGACTTGTCATTATTTCGAAGAACATATGATTTTTTATTGGCTTTGAGTAAGTAAACATGGCATTTTAAATATGAACCATATCCGTTACAGTGGATAAGTTTCCGTATAGTTTCAATTCTGTCTGATATTTATTCGTGTACCATGATCCGGATATTCCGGACTTAATTATGAAGCTTTGAAAACATCGCACCTCCTTTTTTCTGTATTCCAGGTCCAGTGGAAACCATGCTTGATTACAATCGTATTCGGGATAAAACTTGGTGGCTTCTTCTATAGAAAAATTGTTGATGTTTAAACATCAAGTTATGTTGATATCACTGCTTACAGTCTAATTATACTTACATAGTTTTGTAATTTCTATTGTACGGTATTATCTTGTGTTTATGTAGCATCATTCGTTTTTTCCTAGAGTGGATTATTTCGAGGCTTAGTTATACTGATATATTTAAACTGTGTTTTGTGTGTATGTATGTCCCCATTAATCAGTTGTACTGTGGGAATACATGTAAGTGATACTACGAAGTGACTAATAAACGTTGGAAATTTTAATCTAGTACTTCAGGTGCTAAACTCCTGGTAGAGTCATAAAGGTTGGCACAGTAGAAAGCATGGAGAATTATTTACTTAGTTATATGATACATAGTTTCCGAGGGTCCAGTCGAAGAGTAAATATGTAGTCATAACGTTTAGCATAATACTGATACTACTAAGAGTCACTTCTGGAGTTAAAAGCTCAGTAAATAGAGACAGTATTAGGTATATTTTTATTTACTAATGTTGGATTCGGATTTTTGTTATTTCAGAAACCCGTATATTTTCAGATCTATAAAGTTCAAAATGTTAAGGTCGAACAACGTAAAGTGTGTGGTTTTGATGCAGCTGAATAAAGATTTAGGTTAAATACTATAGAACAGCTAAAATGAACAACTGTGTTTGTTAGTTCTAGGTAGTCGAACGTTTCTAACTGTAGTTCATCTGCAAACTTAATAAGTTTAAGTAATTATAGAACAGATTACCCTCAAATGCCCTGGTACGACCGAGAGTGGGGAGAGTCCACTCACCGTCTCTAGATGCTCTTGTATGGTCACGCGTATATAACATCTGCCAGGGCCCCCAAATGCCCTGGTACGGCCGAGAGTGGGGAGAGTCCGCTCTCCCTCTCGAAATGCTCTCACATGGCCACGCGTATATAGTTTCTGCCAGGGAAGTCCTACTCACTGCCTTCACGTGGCTGGGGTGTTGTTTACAAAAATGAAAGGACGAAAAGCGAATGTCCGGCGCTTTAACCAGATCCCAAATCAATGGTGCACATGGGCTCGAGTATCCTGAGGGAACAAATGGCGTATGAACCAATCGTCGGTCACCGGCTACAATGGGACTACATCTTATGATGCTCCACTGCCTTGTGGATCAGACCTTTAGGTCAGAGGCTCCGGGTGTGGCCGCCTAAGAAAACCTACCTGCTTCGGTCTGGGCACCCGGTCAGCATCACAGCCCTCACACAAATCAAATGAGATTCGTGTGGTGCATATGTATTTGGTGCCTCCTTGTACCAATATCTATGTGTTCAAATAAAATAAAAAAAGCAATTATGAGCTCTGAAAGTTACTTTTTTAACCGTTATCACTGTTTATGTGCCTAGAGTATAACATTCAACTATATTTCCTATCTCCTCACTGTTTACAAGAACACCTACCTCTCCGAATTCAGGATGTTTCTGACAGAGATTGTAAGAACGCAGTCTTTTTGGGGCATTAACAAACAAGTTTGTATCAACTTACCTATTGGTAGAAGAGGCATCGGTTTCATCCAAAAGATAGTCTTCATTATTGCTGCTTTTACTGACAGATACCCGCTCACATTTTTCTGTGTATCTAGCATGATTATGTGGTTGAATATCCATCAACAAAAACCCCATTGTAGAAATTGTGATATCTGACAGTTATGACTAGTTAATAAGGTAAAAACAACTGTATCTAACATCAAGTGCCTTATCGCACAATATGATTATAAAGGTATCTCTGTGGTCTTCACATTTTCCTAAAACAGTCGCGAAAAGATACATCGGATTCAAGTTAATTGTCAAAATATTTTTATTCTCCAGTTACAGAACTTGGGGGTTTGTCAAGGGAAATTAGGTAAGACTCTAACGCTACCCGGTAAATTTTGGCAACAAGCAGTGTTTCAAATAAAGGTAATAACAGTTGCTCGATAGTTTATGCAGTGAGAGGTCAACCGTTTCGCGTTTAGTGATCCAATCATACCCTAAGATGTTAGGTTGGAGTAGCTAGGGGATATTTAGTAGTCGTCTTACACGGGCAGTCATTGTAATGTAAATCCAACTAAATATACCTTTTGGTAGCTCTTTTGTGTGAAGTACTTCATTTTCTCATCGGCAATAGTTGTTCCATGGGAAATTGCCAACGATGGTGTAATGATATAGTCGGTAACGACACATGATCAGTATTCTCAGGCTAAAGTTGAGACGGAACGATTATTTCAGTACTTTTACTGAGCAGGCATTGTGTTTAAATGAAGGGGTTATTTATGTGTATTTTAGTAGTGATCACTTCAGAGACAGGGTCATTTGACAAAATAATATTGAATTCAGCATACATTTACGGCGTGTTGACTTGGTTACAGATAATACCAACTAGTTAGTAATAATGTTACCAGATTAAGAATTGCTATTTTTATATATATTTCATCAATCGAGAAATAAGTGGGTACACCCGTTCTATTGAATGAATGCTAGTCACTGTTATTTCGTACATAACAACAAGTCGGGGTGATCTTAGGTGTTATGACTTTTTTTCCAATACGATCAATGGTTTACAATATATCATTTCATATTTTAAATCGTAAAACAAATCGCGTGAAGTTGAGCAAAGAGATTACATAATTTATATCAAGTATTTGATTTGTCGCATTCCAGTTTATAAATATACCAATAGTATGTCATACCACTAGCTAAAACTTTCTTCTTTAACTAGTAATCGATTCTCTGTGTTGTTTGGAAACTGATACAACAGTAAGCTGGAATAGCAAAAATGGTTCGGCAATTTACTCAAAAACTTTCAATAATAATCTAAGTACTGTAACGGACAAGCTGCTGCCCTATGAAATGTAAAAAGTAGAGTTTTTCATATATTTAGTTCCATTCCCAACAGAAATATTTTAGAATTGGAAAACTTGGGGACTGTTTGAAGTAGTAGTGCTCGTTGTAACCGGTCTTTTTAGCATTTTATTTACCATTACATTAAGATTACTATTTGTGCCGTCTAAGATAAGTCACTTGAAAATAGAAAGACCTATACACTAAAAGTTATTGATAGTTATCACTACTTTTGTTACGCGATGAGGGCGAATTTGTGTTTCTGTTTTTCAAAGAATATTCCCTGTAGGAAGAAGGCCGTTAATACTCATCGAATATATGATGGACTTCTCTAGAAAAATTTATGTAATTGGAGATACTTGAAAAGGTAGTAAATGGCATATTATTATAATTACAGCGAATACGATTACTGCACTAAAAGCCGAGAAAATTAAAACAGCCTGTGTTTCCTCGTTTGGTAAGTAGATGTTAACTTTTCACACCAGCGTTTTGTTTATATTTGTAAGTTATTTCTCTACCTTACAAAAATATGTACAAATAATTCATGGTATGACATGTTAAATAGAAATGTTGACTTGATTTCATTATCAACGAATCATTTTTCTTTCAATCAACTTACCATTCACATTAAAGTTAAACATTTACTTAATGTTTTCGATTAGATCTTCATCAGGTTTTACTCTAATATACAGTAATATTTATATGCATATACGAAATTATTAAACCAATCAAGACAGTTTATGAGTCAATGATAACAGTGGAATAGATTGCATAAATAAGTGAAAAGTACAAATTGGTAGTGTGATGATAGGTGTACTAGTTGTGATAAAAATAATAAAGGCTTGAATCAATGTTACAAATCAAATGTTACTTGATGTTTACACACGTATAAACTTTTGGATCCTAACTAAATAGTTTCAAAACATCATTATCTTTCAAGGATATAAAGACTGTAGCCTAGATTGTGTGTAAAATATTTGTGCACTAATTAGTTGACTCAGATTAAAGTAAAATGGTTGTTTAATATCCACTAAGTTTCAATAATTCTCTAAGTGATATCATTTTGTGATGAAAACTAGTTACAAAATGGATAATCATAAACTTTCATACTTGTATGAATCTGGTTTACTCATTCTAATTTAAACACTATTGGTGGATAGAAATCAGTTTTAAAAATAATCATCTTTTTTCATAATAATAAATATCAATAATTGTTTATCACTAAAATATTAAACTATATTAGAGTTCAGTTACACCAACATTTTTCCTATCATGTTCTGAAACCTTTTTAATATTCTATTTACCACCTTTTGGTTAATCATAAATAAAGTTTACTATTATTTTAAACCAATACGATTTTAAAACTAATGACAATATGAAATCAGTTAACCAATGAAAAATAGCGATATTTTTCTAATGTTATAAATTATCAAATAAGTTTCACTATTTATTTTTTTTTTAAATTCTACTGAATTCATGTCTACAATTATAAAAAATATGAGATTTGAACACAAATAACTAATTATAAAATATTGGTTTAAAATGTTCAAGATCATGTATATTTTATTTTAATTGCATTATTTTCTTCATCAAAAGATCAATGGATATAGGGTTATCGTTAAAGATAAAAATAAATAACATTTTCAAATTAAAATGGATACTTTAAACAGAAGTTGTAGTCAATTACAGATAACCAATTCTACAAATTCATCATTTAAAATAATTTTATTTGTCAATATAAAATTTTTTGCAATCATTGTTCAATTAATTGGGATACCATTAAACTTGTTTGTATTACATGGATTACTCAATGTGAAGTTAGGTTCACGTTTAACAACACTACTATTATGTAATCAATGTGTATTTGATTGTCTTATTTGTACATTTGCTTTATTAAAAATATTAAAATCTGAACGTTGGTATACAGGTTATATAATTATTGATAGTATACTGTGCTACTTGTGGTTTAGTCATACATTATTTTGGCTGGTTGTATTACTAAGTTTAAGTAATATGATGTGTACAGCATTAGATCGTTTAGGAGCTGTTGTCTATAGTCGTACATATCAATTACGTCAAAATATTTACATAATATTATCATATACCAGTATTTCAGTTTATTCATTAATATTAATCGCTATCAATCCATTATTATTACAAT